GACGGGTTACGAAAGACTGTGGTAGCGTGGTAGGACCTACTTCAGCATGACATGTCAATTGATGTATGTCACTTGCATGTGGGTCGTCGAACAAACGTAGCCATCCCTGGATGTGATTGCGCTCACTCAACTAAGGCCTAAAGCGCTAAAATACGCCTCCTCTGGTTCGCTTCCATGCCATCATATGCCCTTAAAGGGCATTGAATTTTAGCACGTTGACGCATTCCGCATGATATATCGTCTGATCGATGGACGCCGTCGTCATTCGCTCATCGCCCTTTCGCCCATTAGCCAGTGCCTAGTATGAAGGCGGTTGCAGTGGATTCTCCGGAGTTGCCAATTAGGAGTAGTGCCGCATCGCGCTGGGTATACTTCCCTTGTGAAATAGGGGCCCATAGCAGTACACAAACGATCTTAGACTTGCTCAGAGTGCTTGCGAGCTCAAAGCCGAGCTCTCTAAGCGAGCTGGGTGTAGGTACACCGATCCTCCTTGTCATTAATTGTTTCATAAGGGCAATTCGTGAGCTCTGCAGCATCTTCATATATGATTTTCCAATATTCCTTTGTCCTAGTATAGCTTCAAAAGGAAGATATCAAGCAAAGGTCAACTGGTAGCTGATAAACTCTAGGCGCCGGCCAAAGTAACGGAATGCTTTGACAAATGCCTGGCCAGGCGCGTTTACAAATGATCTGCGCTGCTTCATTTGTAACCGTAAAGTCGAGTTTGTCTTTTTGTTCTGTTGGATGAATTTGAAACTTACCAGGCCATTGCCTCCAACAATACACCATGGGACGAACACCCGGCATCATCTGAACTTGCGCGCCTAGTGCGAGTCGACTCCGCCCCTCCTCTTGTGCCCACTTTTTGAATTTCGCACGGCGCTTGTCGCTCTAGGTTTCTAGGGTGTTTATTGTTTACAAGTGAACCCTTCCCACTTCGAACTTGTTTGAAATAATTATCCTGAGACCTGTCCCAGATGTCGCAAATGTCTCAAGCCAAGTCTACATTTTATTAGATTTCTGAGTAGCTCATATATTTCATTAAACCTCTATAGCCTTCTAGCACTATTGAACAACTTTTTTGATTTGATATTCTATTCTGGTATTCTGGGATCATTTAATTAAACTGAGATTGCTAGCGATTTGAATGCTGGCTTTGATCGAACGCTGCAAAAGCAAGTCTTCTTTTTCCATGGCTATTTGAGCATCCTTCAACAGTGGTACGGTTGAACACGACGAATTCATTTTTATATTCCATTTTTCCAGAAAACTGGACGATTCCTGTAACACTGTTTGAAAATTGTGTGAATAGAAATAGATAATGTTTGGTAAAACCACCTTCGGATCAACAGGCTCCACCTTTGGAAGCACTGGAAGTGAGTATTACATTGTACTGCTCTTTCCTTTTCGAAAGTCAGATCCAAGTACTTATGTTCTTCAGGTTCGTTGTTTGGTCAAAACAAGCCTACAACAAATCTCTTTGGTCAGCAAAACACAGGCACTCAAGGTTCACTATTCGGCCAGAAATCTACTACTAGCCTCTTCGGTCAAAGCACTCCGGCCGCGGGAACATCAATTTTTGGTAATTTTTCAAGCAAAACACTCGAAAAGAGTCATGAACGCTTCATTTCGTGCTAGAGAGATTCAACCGTATGAGCTGAGATCATTTTGACGTATCAATCCTCGCTTCACCAAAACTTTCAGGCTCATCAAATACAGGGTCGAATACTGGAACGTCTTTATTCGGGCAGTCGAAACCATCCTTATTTGGCAGTTCGTCCACTACTGGTACATCACTTTTTGGTAGCTCTACTACTTCTACTGGAGGCGGTCTGTTCGGATGTACGTTCATGTCACATCAATGAATTGCGGTTTTTGTATCCTTATGTGGTTTATTATCGCCGAACTCAAAATAATCTTCTCACATTTAGCGGCATCCACTGTAAATGGAACTACTATCAAATTCGAGCCTCTGGTGTCTTCTGACACAATGATGAAAAACGGCTCCCAGACTACAATACAAACCAAACACATGTGCATAACGGCTATGAAAGCTTATGAAGGCAAAAGTATTGAGGTGGGCTCTTGTTCTATCACTCAAATATTGTCGTATCGCTGGTCACCTCGTTTGGTGTGTTCTCACATACTCTTCTGTTGCAATATGACCTAAGCCATGAACATTCAGGAACTTCGAATAGATGATTACATCGCCAATAGAAAAACACCGTCAACGAGTGGTGGCTTGTTTGGTAGTTCAACGGCGACTAATGCTGGTACTAGCATCTTTGGCAGCACTCCCGCCAAGCCGTCGTTATTCGGTTCATCTACTTGTAAGTTTTTCAACACATTTTCTCTACTATGGTTTTCTAGTATACAAGCTCGACAACTTATAATAAGTGACAAGGACCGGTGTTAGAATTCCAGCGTATTCAGTAATTTAGTCTGAGACTTAAAAACGTACACTCAGAAGGAAATCCGATCATATTACATGAGTTTTAATTGTTTCTAAAGCTGCTTCAAATCCGCATCCAATTATTTAGAACTTCAGGCCTTTTATGCTAACTTCGACTTGCTCTATTGCTAGTTCGCCTCGTTAATTTTCCTCATTGAAGATTTTCTTTGTGAACAGAGAAGTTTATTCTTACGATATTTCTTTTACAGCAACTACGTCACCGTTTGGCGCAACACAGGGTACATCGCTCTTCGGTCAGAATAACAATGCCACTCAGGTATGATCAGCAACACCTATAGCGCTGATCCTCCACAGTTTCATGATAGTGGTATTATTCAAGGGTTCTTCTTTGTTCGGCAGCAAACCTACGGGTAGTCTTTTCGGCTCACCAGCGACAGGAACTACTTCGGCGTTTGGATCATCCACCGGGGGTAGCTTATTCGGGAACACAGGAGGCTCTGTAAGGCTAATACGATTTTCAACTTCCATGTACAATGAATAAAATTTCATTCTTCCAAGGCATTCGGATCGACTCAGCAAACTGGGTCACTTTTTGGAGGTTCCTCTTTTGGCACTGCCACTACGACGACGAGCTCTTTCACTTTTGGCTCGACAACGAATACAGTGAGTATCTGCATTTCATTTCGATTTTGGCGATTTCAGAATAGAACCTATATCATATCATTAAGACTGCATCTCCATTTGGTCAAACAGGAAGTACAAACACAGGAGGATTGTTTGGTTCAAATACGGCCACAACGAACACAGGTAGCCTGTTTGGTAAACCAGCTGGCACGAGCGCATTTTCTTTTGGAACCCCTTCAAATACGACATTTGGTGAGTTATTCGCAGGTCTTCTGTTGAAAGCACATTTATAGCACAGTTATTGTTATAGCAATTTCGATTGGAACTTACTTTGTACTGTGATCTTTCGATAACGAAAATCCATTGCAGGTCAAACTACTACTGGCAGTCTTTTCGGCAATACTCAGAAGCCAGGAGGATTATTTGGTAGCAGTACTAATACCACAGGTTCGGTTTGTTCTTTTAATGCTGCGATGTGTGGCGTTACGTTGCGCTGTTGCTTTAGCCGCTTATCCAGCGCACGCATGTATGGCTTACAAATAAAGCTGTTGCACTGAATCTATAGGCTAATTTTCTTCATTGGAACTTACGCTTGTTTTGTACCTCCACTAGGCTTTGACTTCGCAAGTGCATAAGAGCTTGCCAAAGTTGATACGTCGGAGAAAATTCTTCTTGATGAGTTCAAGATCTTTGTAAAAATTAATCATAGCATACTATTACCAGGTTCCGTATTTGGAAGTCAACCTGCGCAGCAAAGCACTGGTCTTTTTGGAAGTACGCAACCAGCACAAACGTCACTCTTCGGAGCAAATACGGCAAACCAGCAGGCAAATACAAGTAAGCATGGCATCTTACTTGGTACTATGGTCTTGTGTTATTTTACAATTCCTTTTGTAGCTTTTGGTGCTGCTGCTCCAACTACTATAAATGTCCCTGCTGCTGCTCCAATCGTACTTGGCTCTGATGTAAACCAAGCTCAGGTCCGCTTCATGTTACAGTCTTTGATTAGCTTGAGACCTGTTTGTGAAGCGTTTAGTCCTTTGTTAAGAGGTGAATTTCTATTTAGATACAAATGGCGCTTCTGGATGCTCAAATAGCAGCGTGTCCCTATGGTGATTCGCCCTTGCTGAAGATGGGTACTGCAAAGGACACTGATGAGACGCCGAATCCAATAAGGTTTGATCGGCTCACTTTAAACAATTATGGCATATTTTGTTCACATTCGTTCATCAATTTAGCGTTAGAATTTCAGTACTCAAAGGCAGCTGAAGTTTCTTGCTGCAAAGAGCGCCAAATCGTCTCCTTTGAATGCATCGATGATGAATGGGAGCACGGGTTCTCCTTCCTTGAACGGTTCTCTGATATCTTCAAAGAGCTCTTTCTTGCCTATTGTTCCACCAAAGGTAAGAAGACTATTCAGTTTTTTTTTTTGGCAAGGTGATCACATGGTGTGAAGAGCTCTTAAACTTTTATTACTTTTAAATGTTCACTGTTTAGTTCAAAATTTTGTTACGAAACAGCTTACATACATTCTCCGGGTCGTTACGTACTTTTCATCTTTTACTGCATTTAGGAATTCGATTGGAATACCAGTTTTTTATGCAGAGTGGTCACATCGACTTATTGTTGCAGGTCGGCGACACAGTGAAGTCGTCACCGAGATTGCGTAGCGCTGCGATTCCTGGACGGGACCTAAATTATACTTCTAAAGTTGCTCCTCCCACGTTGGGGAAAGGAATTCGTACGAAAGCGCTAAACAGTTCGAATTCTACCGCAAACAGAAGCCTCGACGGAAGTCTTATCAACAAGTATGTCAGCTCATTCATGAATATCAATGAGTCTAGCAAGCAACAATGTCTAGTCATCAATATTATGTTTAGGTCAGTAGATGCAGCCATTGAAGCATCGCTAGCTAATGGAACAAACATTCCCAGCTCGGGGAGACGACGGAATCTGAAACATTTGGATTTGTCAATGGTCATGCAAGTCATTGGTTCTCGAAGCTCTGAAGGCGACGATGAGTCCCAAGGTCGTGATCCGGATGAGTTGCCGTCAACTGATAATGATGCCGTTTCCAACGAGGGTGTATACAGGTGAGTCGTAGAAACCCCTTGGCTTTCCAGAATCAGTTGAATTTTCTGTATTTCAGCCCCGAAATTGATCCTAGAGAAGTGGCCATTCAGCGAGGCGAGGCTTGTCGGAATGGTACTCTACCACGTCTGCAGCTTGATGGCAGTACATGCGAGGAATCCATGATGGCCTCGAGCAAATCTCCTGCCACTCAAGGAACCAATGTAACATTATCAAGTGTCAGTTCTGAAACAGTTCGAACTTCACCACAAATTGTCGCGTCATCCACTTCACAGCCGATTGTGCGTCTTAACTCACCGGATTACTTTACTGAACCGACCATAAATGCAATGCGCGAGATGGTGAGAAAATTTTTTCTGTTATTATGTTTTTCAGTTATTACACTCTCTTTTAAGGTCGTCGACGGAAAAGTTATCCTTAATAATGGACTTACCGTCGGCCGTGCTACTTACGGAAGTGTTTTCTGGCCAGGTCGTATTGAGCTCGAAAATGTTGCATTAGACGAGGTACGGTGCGCTTTCCCATGAGGCAAATATCCTACTATATATAACGCGCTAAGTGTGTCTGTTGGTTTGTCTGTGTGTGTGTGTGTGTGTGTGTGTGTGTGTGTGTGTGTG